GGCGTCCACTCCCTCTTGCCCAGGAAATCCGCAAGTTTGTGCCGGGTGGGCAGCTGACGTTGGCCCAGGCGGAGGAGATGGCGCCCATAGGCAACAGCCCCACGTTCCTCACCTACAAGCAGATGAAGCAGGTCAGGGTGTGGGTGTGTGGGTAGGGGTGTGGGTAGGGGTGTGGGTGTGGGTGTGGGGGTGGGTGTGGGTGTGTCTTTGTGAGAGAGTACGGGTTTGTGTGCGTGGAGGTAGATTGAGAGTGAGTGAAGGCGCGCGTGAGCGTTTGTGTATTTGAAGCGTGAGGACGCGTGTGTTGACAGAGTGACAGAGTGTGCGTGTTTCTGAGTGTGTGTGTGTGTGTGTGTGTGTGTGTGTGTATGTGCACGGGCATGTGTGTGCGGACTCTTAGAAAGCCAGTTGCGTGGCGCCAGCTTGATGTCCCTGCAAAGCCACACGGCCCAGGGCCCCATCCCCTTGCTCCACGCCCCTCGCAGCCCCCCGCTCACGCGCACGGACACCAACCAGGATAACCCTGTTCTCGTCCAGGTTTTTGGGCCGGTCTTAGTTCTACCCTTGATCATATTTCCAACCCCTCAAACCCTGGACCGCAATATTCTGCCGCGGCGCCGCAGGTGATGCCCCTGTGGGCCAACGTCTCCATCGCCGTCTTCAAGGACAAATCCGCCAGCGAGGTGCGGGGGGTGCAGCAGCGGTAGGGGCGACAGGGGCGACTCGCCAGGGTCAGGGCAGACACTAGGCACCCGGGTTGCAGAGGGGCGGGGCCCCTGGCTGCATCGGCGCCCGCTGCTGCGTCGCTTTGGAGGTATCCCCGGGCTCGCTGCCCACTCCATCCCCCCTGCCGCTTGCACGGGCCCCCACGCCTGCCATGCACCGCTCCTGTTTCTGCCCCCCCGCCGCACGTCCCTCCCCCCTTGAGCCTCCCTTGCAACCCCACCCCAACTCCCAAAACCCGCCCATGACGCTCTCCTCCTAGCTGCACCCTCACAGCTTCACACACACACACACACACACACAAACACACACACACACACACGTACGCACACATATACACACATACACATCTTGCGCCCCCCTTGCAGAAATGGGGCTGGGTGCAGGAGATGTATGCGTTCACCATCACGCTGTGGCGCAGCGGGGTGAAGCACGTCGACCTCGTGCTGCACCTCATGGCGCAGCCCCCCTGGGACTCAAAGCTCGAGGTGCGCCCCTGCCTCCCTCATATCGTCACATTACATTAGAAAAAAAAGTGCGTCCCTCATACGCCACATCGGTGTGTCTGTTGTGTATATGTAAGCCAATGACTGCGACCCTGCATCTCTGGGCCGGAAGGTGCTTGTGAGGCCGACCAAGAGACTAATGATAACAAAAATGCTGGATCAATGCCACCGTGGAATGACGGCAGCATGTGGCGGCGGCCATGGTGCGGCGATTTTGTGCTCCCTGTCGAGTCTCAGTGACGTCACCACTGTGTGGACCCTCTGGTTGTGACGTAGCGCGTGTCCTCCTCAATATCGCAACCCAGATATCCAAGGGCAAGCCGTACTACATACTGCACTACACGTACGGCAACGACTTTGACCTGGCCGGGACGTTCACGCCGGGTGGG